TTATTTTTATCAGATACATTGAGTTCTGCTATAGTCGATTTTTATGCTTTCAACTTCGACACATTTAATAACACATTTGCCATAAGATATATATTACTTTTAGTAAAAATTAATTGAGCTTAATTGCTGCAATACGATTAGCAGGTTATAAACAGCACATGATGTTAAATGTATTAACAAAGCCTCGGTTTGTGGTGTGTGTGTGTTAAAAAATTTCCTCTAAACCTCCCCCCCCGTGTCCTGCATTTCGCTAGCAGGAAGGTGGTCACCCTAGGCTCAGTACATCGAAATGAAGTTTTGGGGTGTATTATATGGGACAAAGGGTGTAACGATACACCCTTTTTTCTTGAGAGTGTAGTAATCGCAGGTGCCGACAAGATTCTGACGCTTCCAGTCTCAAATGCCGAAGCAGAGAGTATTCTCCCACGTAGCGCTGACCAAAACTGAACTTTGCAATAAGATAAAGCTTGACCTTCCGAGGTTCATCCAAAAAATAAAGTTTGGCCTCTGACTGCAGCAGAAAACATAATCTAGATACATGGTCCCAAAATGAGTTGCTGGGCGAGTTGGATAGACATCTTGACTTAAACAGCGCAAAAACGTTACGTAAGGAGGAGACAACAGGAAGGAAAGAGCGCTGACTCACAACTGAGGTTTTAATAATGATGTAGTGAAAGAGAAGGAAGGTGTCAAGGGGTCACCGACAACTTTGTAGATCACATCTGAATATTTGTACGTAGATATATTCACTTGGGTTACTTAGAATTGCAAATTGTCATTCCGTTAATATGGCCCTTAGAAAGAGGTTAATAATTATAACCTTCTTTAATTTAATAATATTACTGCACTTGACACCTTCCTTCTCTTTCACTACATCATTATTAAAACCTCAGTTGTGAGTCAGCGCTCTTTCCTTCCTGTTGTCTCTTCCTTACGTAACGTTTTTGCGCTGTTTAAGTCAAGATACATGGTCCCAGATGAAGTGCTCCAGAAAATTACTGCAAACTATTCTGGCGCCAACAGCATCTACTGGAACTTCACTATAGTGTTTGATATTAGTATAAAACGTTCTAAAAATTTATGCAATTTACGACCGAATACGACCGGCACGTGTGTGCAGTAAACTCAAGAAGCACGCGCAATGCCAAGCTTCTTCGCACTACGAAAATTAAAACACAACCGCGTGGATATAGCACGTGCACTATACTCATAGTGAGGAAAACAGAAGCGCCCCTAGCGAGCTTCTTACCGCGATTAGGTGAAGGAGCTGTCCCCCACCAGGTGTGGACTCTGCGCATGCGCCCCGCCAATAGCAGGGCCACCGTAGCGACGTTACGCCAGGAAAGTTTTAGAACTCATATACCCGATAATGAAACGATGATTGCGCAAAGATGCCGGCGGAGTATCGTGTATCGTAACCACAGTTATCGGAACGGTCTACTAAAACTCCCTAATCTCTGGTGCGTTTAGCGTCCAGTCCCTTTTCATGGCAAATGCCACCAGGCGGTGCTCCAGTCCTTGACGTCTCAGAGCCCTTTATACTGGGAGAGTTGTGCACTCTTTTGAAGATGCCGACACCAGCAACCACAGCTGGTACTAAGGCAACCAGGAGGTGGCACCTTGCCTCCGCCATTTTGTGTTTTCGAATTTCGAACCCACTCTGGATTAGGCACGCAAGGTATGCTGCGACCCATCATTGTAATAAAAGTGTTTATCGCTAATGTAAGTGTTTTTGGCGCTGCACACGTAGTCAGAATCTCAAACTTACTTATCTGCTACGATGTCTTAAAATTATATGAACCTAACCTGATTCCTTTTTTTAAGTGAATTTTTAATACCTTGAATACTAAGTCTCGAAAATTGCCACCGGAAAAATTCAGTGCCGTGACGGGCGCCATCTAGGAGAGGCGCTGCGTACCCTTGCGCTCAATCACCATATTAATTTTTGTTTGAGGAAGCTAGTTTTGTTCAAAACCAAACGGAATAATGCTTATTTTTAAGTTATGTTTTGAAGATCAATGAAGGATGGCCAGTGCTTGAATATGTGCCCAATTGCAGGTATGTATAACACATGTCAGAGTATAAGAAATTGTGTTTATAAAACAACTGCTAACCGCGCATTTGGACTAGCGCACAAAAGTAGAGCGGCCAAAAGCAAAATCCTTCATTTTGTGTTATTGTAAAGTGCGCTTGTTTTAGCGGGCGACAGGCTCCACCCATCGGCCAAACCCTCCCAGTATATAAGGCTCTGTGACGTCCCAGAGAACTTGCGGTTCATAAAAAGAATGAACAAAGCCCACCTTAACACCGCTGCTTGAAATGTCGATGAAACCTTTAACCGGCATTTCTCCAGGTGAACGCCAAAAGAACAAAGCAGTGCTAGGTCTGTTAAAATGTTTCGAATATTCCCGGAAACCAACTTCCCTCCTCCAAGACTTTAAATCGTACAACCAAAGGCCTATGTTAAATCTCCAACTTTGTTATTCGTGTAGCATTTGTGCTTTCTAGCACTGGTAACATAAACAAGCTCGACAGGCTTGCAAAGACGAAGCGATCTGAAGTCGCTTGGGACGCAAGCGGCAGTTCATGTTTATAAACAGAAAAAGGGTCTATACCGCGACGCACCGGAAGTAGTTCCGAAGTAGCAACAGATGACGTCACAATTAAGAGCGGGTGTGCAATGCTATCGGATGTCGCGATCCTGGCGGTTGGTTCTAGAAGTTCTGACAAAAAAAAAAAAAGACGAGTAAACAAGAGTGTAGCTGTCGTCGCATTGTCCCAACCTGTGGCTGTTGAAGCTTCCATGGGTCACCAAACTCGGGAGCGATCTACAGCAGAATCATAGCTTCCTTAATTCTAGAAAGCCCGTCAATTCCCCGACGGAGCCACTGAGCGCGCGGTCGCCGGAAAAAGGCGAGGAGCAGCGCCGAACGGTTATCCATATGGTAGCGCAAAGCCACTTCTGGGGTATCCCTTCAGCCAGTGCAAACAATACGCGCGGCGGCTTCTCCGCGAAACAAAACAACAAACCGCAACGGAAAAAAAGGGGAAAAAAAAAAAAAAAAAAAAAAGCTTCCGGCGCGTGGAGAAACGGGAGAGAAGCGGAATAGGAGGGAGGTCGACCCAAAACGTTATCCTTTCCTGAGAAAACCGAAATGAAAAGGCGCGTGTGCGTGTTTCCGGATTTTACCGCTGGGGCATTGTTTGGCGCTGCACGAGAGAGCCCCTGCGCGCGCCCCCTTCTCTGATCTCCTTTCCGTTTTACAGCGGCTACGTTCTTTCGTGATTTGACAGGCTTTTTTAGAATAAAGAAGGCTATGGCAGGGAACCAGGCGTCTGTCGTATTCACATCTGCTGCTGTGCTACCGCCAAGATCGCAGCAGGCAACGGTGGGATAGAATAACTGTAAATGCGATAGGACATATCTTTGACGTTATCAGGTGGAAATCAAGAGTGCAAAAACACGCCAGTTGAAGACGCGTTCCGGATACCATACTAGAACAGAGGAACTTGGCTCTCTACATTCAAGTGCACCAATTCAGATGGGTCGTATTTTTGTCCGTACCATCTACAGAAAATACTGTAGGAATATTTCATTATACTAGTGTTATGCTGAATGGTTATTGCTCGGCTGGGCGTACCGCAGTCTAAAGTAAATGACCTTAAACGCTGCTGTGAGAATGCCGACGCTTTTCAGGCCGGAGCGGTGTCCTGTGCACACCGCCCCGCCCCGGTTCAATTACACATATTTGTCTCTTACAATATTGACGCGTGTAAGAAGCTGCCACACTACAAGTAATATTGACTCTTATCGGCTCGGCCATTCTCATGAAGAGCCTATGGCCTTGTTCGGTGATGTATGTTGTTTTTTACTTGCACTGTTTGAGCACACTGATGTTTAGATTCTGTCTCGTGTTCCCACAGTATAAATAAATAAAACAAAGCCCTTCCAGTGTTACGAACAGGTATTTCACAACCTCTGCATTATGTCTGCAAAAATATCAGTCTTGGGTAGCAACGCGTTACTAGTAACGCGTTACTGTAATTTCGTTACTTTTTTGGTAACTTGTATCTGTGACGAGTTACTTTTTTCTAAATGTTACTGTGACTGTAGTTCTATTACTTTTTCTGAGGTAACGATGAAAGTAACGACGTTACTTTTGTCGTTACTTTCCAGTGTTTTATAAATAATATATCACTGAACGAGTACCAATTTATATATTCCTCGCACTTTTCAAATCGTCTATTCCGACATTTCGAGTGTCAAGTTGGCCTTGCACAAACTTGTGAATACCTTCGTTCTCACGAGTCACGACCCAAATATAGCCACCTGTAGATTTCATGAAAAAAAAAATCGTTATTTTTACGCATGCGCTTGTACTTTGTGACTGAACACTTACATCTTAGTGTCTTGAAGCACTATCTATGTTGTGTTTTTTTTTCTTTTTTTTTTGTGCAAACGTTTTTTAATCGGGTGAATCAACCGTGAAATAACAATACACGTGGAGGGCACTGCGCATGTTTCATATTTTGATTTGCGCCGCTACTCTGGCGTGTAAATTTTCAAACACTAATTTCGAGAAGCAACTTCTGCTAAGTTACAATATGAAGTAAAAAGCGCACTTTTTAATTTCATGCAAAAAAACTTGGTGAGGAGCGTTTTCAGTTTTTCCTAATTTTTTTGTGTTATAGAAAAGTAACTGAAAAGTAACGTCGTTACTTTTTAAAAGTAACTGTAACTGTAACGGATTACTTTTTTGTTGCGGTAACTGTAACGGTAACTTCTCTACTTTTTTTCTGAAAGTAACTAACTGTAACGAATTACTTTTTAAAAGTAACTTACCCAAGACTGAAAAATATACACTTTTCTTTAACTTTTGGACGGCGAAAGGTGTTTTTTTTTTTTTTAAATGAAACTATATCAACAAGTTTAATATGTAGAATAATTAAGCAACAATAAACAACTAGTTTCGTGTATTTTTTTTTTTTTTTTTTTTCAGGAACAAGCATTGGTTTGCTGGCACTTTGCAGCGTCGTAATAAACCAGCATTTCCTCAAGTTCCGCGCCATGGCCTCCGGAATCAGCAATGCCGGTTTCACAATTGGCGGACTCATATTTCCGCCCTTAGTACAAGAGCTCTTCGACAGATTCGGAGTCAGAGGCATGTTCTTGCTGTGCGGGGCGCTCATGCTCAACTCAACGGCCGGCGCTTTCTTGCAACGCTCTCCTCCTTTACCCATCCTGCAGACTGTGAAGGACAAGAGCGAGACATTGCGCAACCACCAAGAGACGGAAAAAATGCTTCAGCCCTGTCCTCCAGAAGTTAAGCTGAGTTCATCCGACGTTCAAGAGCAGAGCCAGAATGGTGAACCAGGGGTCAAAGAAGAAACCATAATCGCCCAGAAAGTGTCGCGAAACATCAGTCGCACGAATGATCCAGAATGCAAGCTAATCCCAGCCGATCAAGACGACGAAGATATCAGCTGTCGCGTCCTGGTACAAAGTGAACTGGTGTCTTCGAAGAAAGAGCTCAAAATACAGGCCGTCGGCATTAGAAATTCGCAGTCTTTTTCACTAAAGCCCAAGAGGAAACATTTGCTGTCGTTTCTGATTCTGCCCAGGTTTTACCTGATTGCCTTTTCCTTGTCCCAGATCCTCAACAACATGACCACTTTCATGACGGTCATCGTGGACTTTGCTCTGGACAGGGACGTTTCCAAGTGGCACGCTGTTCTCCTCGTTTCGTATTACACCGTAATGGACCTGGTGGCCAGACTGGGGTCTGGCTGGATAACGGACAAGGGATACTTGAAGAGGAGTATACCATGATGGCCGTCCACCTGACGATGTGGGGAGTATCCTTATACCTGATGCCGGTCTGCAGGCCTTACTACTGTCAAGCGCTGCTCTCTATGGTGTGCGGATGGTGCAACGGTTCGACGCTCATCCTTATCGCCGTGTTCTTTGTGGAACTTGTGGGCATCGAAAAGTTGGGTGTGTGTTTTGGGATTGCCACGTTCCTGGCTGGACTGCTGGGACTCCTCAGACCTACGCTCATAGGCACGTCACCTTTTAATATTCCCTCTCTTTATTTTTATATGTTTCTCAGCACATGCACGCGCGTCTCAATGTGAACTGACAGTTCCGTATCAAACGCTGGAATATGTTGGTGCGGCGCGACGCTTAAAAGTTTCTGAATTGCTTGGGATGACCAACTAAGCACTTAGTCACCTAGAGAGTAACGTACAACATAAACGTGTACGAAAGTATACGTGTTGTTTTCCATAAGTTGCTTACAACGTTTGTAAAATTCGTTCGATCCTTTTTTCTTCTTTTTTTGTGACGACAATAATTCTTTTTTTGCAGGGTTTCGCATCGAATCCCAGGGTGTGTTTATTGCCCGCTTAATTTAGCGGGAAAATTTCTCCGCTCTATTTAGAGGAATCATAGTGGCACGTGACATTGTGATGTCATAGTGACGTAACAAGCCACCACAATTTCAGCTTTGTTTAACAAAAAAATGGTGTCACCTGATGCCATGACGTAACGTGATGTCATGTCACCAGGTCATGTGATTTTATCCGACTTTATCGTGTGACGTGACGTCATAGTTTTACGTCAACATTCAGAGAGTACTTCATATCTTGCTGTTCTTATTGCAAACGACAAGAACAGCATATCTTGCTGTTCTTGTTGCTTGTTGGACACAGCAAGGAACCGCCAGTTTCTTTGGTTGATAATCGATATATCATAGAGTTTTCGTGCGACTCCATAAACTAGTATTTCAACAAAATGGCTGATTGGGCTAGTTGGTTCATGATCATTCAGACGAAAACGCTTCAAAGAAACGGAAACAAGGGATACAAGACAGCACAGAGCAGCCTAAGGCTCTGCCACAATGTTTAGCTTGAAACCAAAGGAAATTACTTTTCGTTTCCAACCTCCCTGACTCTGTTTGTGCAGGTTACTACAGAGACAGCCATGGCGACTACGAAGGACTGTTTACCCTGCTGGGAGGACTCACATTGGCAATGGCCATACTTTGGTATTGGGTTCTCGCAAGGGAAAGGTGCGAGGTGCTGAAGAAAGCCAAACGTTCCAAGACTCAGCATCTGCCTCAAGCCGACATCACCGCCTCAGACGACAAAGGACAGCGGTTATAGCAGACGATTTCCGCCATTAGCTACATTCCATATTAGGCCATAGGGTGACAATACCCTCTGGTAACCAATTTTCAGCCACTACCAAACAGAACTTTGTCGAAATGAGATCAGTGTCTGCCAAACCGCGATACGGCCTTAGGGCGCCGCCATCTTGCTTCTGGGTGTGTGCAGATCGCCTGATAGTCAAGCCTTGCTGGATGGATGAATGTTAACGGCTGTACCCCTTATAACGGGCGGCCTTGCGCCACTTTGCCTAAAGAATACACTGAAAACATACGAATTGCCATGGGTGACGGAGTGGCGGCCAAACAAAACATATTTTTTATCCATAGTGGCCTTGCTAGCTTTTGAAGCCTGGTCGCTTGCAAAGTCTATGGGATGGAGAGATAAGATTTTTCAGAAAGGAGAAAGGGGCTATACGATCCCGGGACACTAGTCATCTGTAAGCGGTTTGTGGAACTAAGCAAATGCAAACCACGCTTTTTAAGAGAGAACATGAAAACGAGAAAGAGCAAGTCGGTGAAAGAGAACGTCGAACGAGGTAAACATTTTGGTACGGTATGCATCCAGCGGAGGCTGCGGATGACAAGAACAACAGGTAAACATATTGACTGTGTGCCTTCTCGCGTGTCATTTTATTTTAATAAAAAATAAAATAGGTAGTGAAACCACGAAGTGTTGTCTATAGAGTTACTAAGTAAGTATACGCCTAAAGTTCTGCCACTTCAGTCCCCGATTTTCTTGGTGGCGCCGCCATTTTGGTGCTTTGTGCAAAGCGGGCGCAGTTGATCGATCGTTGCGTTTAAAAAGTATTCGACTGTTTTAACATCTCTGGAGGACGGAAAAGCATTTCCTGCAATTTTATATACAAGATAACTGGCAACAATAATTTGAAGCACTAAGATGGCGGAGGTATCGTTACTCAGAAGCACAGCCCAAATATATTTTGCCGAATTACCCAAGCATCAAGGAGGATGCTGGGAACGTATAGGTACGCGCGATGCATGTGCTCGCCTTATAAGTAAATAATAAAAAGAAGGCGTTGATGAACCCGCGTGCAAAGTGCCATTTGTTTTTAGGTTGTTGCTTAACGCGTGCTCCTTGGTGTTTGGGTAATCGGACTAAAGGTCTGTTCCTCGAAGAGTTTGAACGTGCCCACGAGAAATCTATTGGAGAGCCTCACGTCGGCCACTGTTAAAAGCGCAAATGACAAGAAGAGTGCGCGAGTGTAAGGGCACTCGGGAAGAGCGAGTGCCTTGAGCAACGTCGTCGCACGCAAATTTGACACCGTGAAGTCAAAACCTTGAAAGTTAGGCAAAAGTGTAAGGCAACCACATACATACACGTACGCGAACAACGTAAAAACCAGCTCAAAAATTAACAAAACTACTCTGAGACGACAGGCGAGCTAAAACAACGGGAGCAAAAAGACAAAACGCAAATAGGATGCCGAGCGCCCAAAGAAGGCTCGGGTTATAGTTCTACTGCCTACTTTGGGAGTGACTGCAAAAACAAAAAAAAAAAACAAATTTCAGAACTTATTTCTCAATGTAAAAATTTATAAAGAAAATCCAAAGAAACTGCCCTTTGAATCATTAGGTTGCCACGTCAACCATTTGGTACAACTACACAGCACGTAGTCGTCGTCAAATCACATAGAAAAAAAAACGCGTGGCAATTCAATACTTAGCATTGTTTCATTATCTCGTAATGACTGCAAATTTTTAACCGCGGGAAGCCTATGTATTTTTAATGAACAATGCTCCTCAAACATAGGGCCGCCACTCGGTTGTCCAAATATTGAGCTGTTGCCGGCTACTCAACGCTAAATTGGACATCGCAGCAGCTGAAATGTCTTCCCTGGGGCTGGGTTATGATCGGGGAGTTAAAACTTCACCGCGATGTTCGACAGACAGACGCAAGAATAGCACAAAAAGTGCCAAAAAACGAACCATATTCTTGCGACGTTACCGAAGTAGCACAAAGTGCGTTTTGGAAGGAGGGCCGACGCGGGTCCCACGTCGGTTTTGCAAGTCTGGCCAAAGTGGGGCCCACTTAAGCGGCCCAAGTGGACTGCATCGGGAGACCCACAGGGAGCCTATTGGACAGCCCAGTCCCCTCGTGGGAACCTGGGTCTACCTAGGTAGCCCACAATGACAATCCTCGTTGGGCCCTCAGGGGGCCTAGGAAGGCAGCTCACATAAGGTCTCCCGGGAACGAAATCCCGTTCGTGGTTATTTCGTCATTCCCCAACAATGTGAGGTATTGCAGTGCATCCCAAATTGAGCATGCCTCAGTTTCCCCGTGTGACTATACTGGAAATATGATTACCAGCTTGATACATTTTGATAGATCGATGAAACATATTGAACAAGACCATCGAAAACTGTACATTTCAATTGTACCAATTGAAGCAGAAAACTGTGCATGTTTCCGTATAACATCCTGGTGGACTATCGCAAACTTGAGCCGGCTACAGACACCGAAGTTTAGAGCAGATGACGACATTCTGATAAGCATGTAATAGCTAGTAATAAAGTGTGCAAACTTAGAACTTCTCTCACGCCTAAAATTACAATGCTCGGTAATGTCGTGTCGAATTAGGTCGATCTCTTACGTTGAATCTTCAGGACGTGCACTAAATGTTTTTCTTAGCGGAAAGTGCCATTTTGGAAGCTGCACAGGTAGTCCAAGCTGGGCATGCCGACACTCTGTCCCCTCGGAACCCACATCTATGCTCAACTTTCACCCATATAGCCGAGGTGGGACACACGGGGACATTGCACGGACAGCCCAAGATGGGCGTGCCCACGCAGTGCCCCCGAGGCGAGCCCACCTTTGTGTAAGACTCTGCCCCTGTATAGCCCAAATGGTACCCACAGGGGCATCGCCTGGGCAGCCCAAACCCACTTTGGCTACGCCTGCGCGTAGCCTAAGTAGGTTTCACGAGGGTATTGCGTCGGCAGCCCAGGTGGGCGGGCCCTCGATTGGCCCACAACTACGATAAATTTGTCCTTACATAACCCAGGGTGGGGCCCACGGTGGTGTTACATGGGCAGCCCGAAACGCCATGGGTTGCCCATGTAGGGGCTAACCCAGCCCACGTGAGGCCCCCTTGTGCTATCTGGGTATGATCAGGGTGAACTGTACCATAGCCTCCTCTATACTGACGAAGCCTGGCAGATCGCCACGAGACGCGGCTCCTGAAAGTGAAAAGATAGAGCGGCAGAAACAACGAACGAGAGGAGAGGTATGTAACGGGCGCCCCGCTGCGGCGAGACGCCGAAACATACTAGTATCGAGCGATGAAATGTCTGCTCGTGCTCCTCGCGTTCCTCGGGCTACCGCTTCTTTTCTCGCAGGGTTTGAAAACCACTATCCGGGTCCTCGCCGCTGCAAAAGCTGTGCGCTGACTACAGGCTCCCCGAGAAATGCTCTGTGCTACCAGATCCTCTCGCTCTAAATCTGCGACCGAGCACTCTACGGCTCCGTCGTCAAACTGACAGGCTTTGTGAGTTTAAAGGAGGCTATGACTGCACCTAACAGAGCCAGAATCGTAAATATGAATGCGTTTAGTTAACCGTGATACTCAATAAAAAAAAAATTAAAGATTGGGACGGTTGGCCGCATAAAAGTTTTAGGGCGCTGCTCTTAGGTGCCCGTTTCCGGGTTGAGCGGCGTCTACGTAACCGCGCTAAATTTAGCGGGAAAATTGACGTCACGCGATCTCAACAGCAATTAACTTCCCGCTACATTTAGCGGCAAAATTGGCTTCACGTGACCAGAACACCAATTCGGTTTTCCCGCTAAATTTAGCAAGGAAAATGACGTCACATGACTTGGTGTCACATCACTTTTGAACAAATTCAGTTTCTCCGCGAGATGTACCGGAAATTTGACGTCACGTAACCTCAGCAGCAATTCAATTTCCCGCTAATTTTAGCGTGAAAATTAACGTCACGGGACCTCAACACCGGTTTAGTTTCCCCGCAAAATCTAGCGGGGAAAATAACGTCACATGACGAGGTGCACGTCACCTATGAACACATTTAGTTTCTCCGCGGGAAAATTGGCGTCACGTGCTAAGGAGGAGGAGGGGGGAGGAGGAGGAGTAGGGCAGGGGAGAGGATGAGGAGCAGGAAAGAAGGAGGGGAAAAGGAGGGGAGGGCGAGGAGCAGAGGAGGAGGGTACGGAGGAGGAGGCGGGGCATACCCTCGCCTCCATACCCTCCCCTCCTCCTCAAGAGCTGCGTTCCAATTTCGCGTTACAAAGATTTGTAAACGTTTTTAATATTTTTTCCAATATATTTTGACAGCATCGAGCGCGTGACGTCACTCGCCGCTCGCTTTCAACACCGTCTGGCGCCACCGTAGGTCGAGGCGTTTCCGCGTTGTCCGGTTAAAATATATCTTGCAACTCTGTCCTTTTTCACTGCCCTAACCACCACAAAGAAAGAAACCACAAAAAACAAACAAAAAAATGAAGCAAACGCTGCGCTCATCTCCGAATCCATGAAAGCTAAACATCTTTTCGTTCAGGGATTTTTTTGACCATGTGTACTTACAAAAAAGGACCAGTCCCGTGCGCAGTCGCAGCGAAACCATGCGACACCTTATCGGACCCTAATATAGGATGTCTCAAGTCACCAGGCTCCATCTAAAATGGAGCATAAAGATCGACGCCTACACGAAGCAATCTAAACTTTTCGTCGTACGTGTATTTCGCAGGTTCGTTTTTTCTTGTAAAATTACAGAGAGTAGCTCCCTTTCTGTAAAAACAACAAAAAAAATAAAAAAACGGGGCGAAAATCTTGTCAGGACAACGGCGGGCGGCGACTCAGAGGACTGAGCCGAGCGGCAGGGCGCGTTTGGCGCACGTATTGATAGATGGCGCTGCCTAAGAACTCTAATCGAGACAGTTCACAACGACCTTGATTTACTAAAATGAAGATAATATTTTTATAGTGTACCTTTGGTTTACAAATAAATTCGGACAATAAAAACAAAACTTGAAGAGGAAAAAAAAAACGGTGGCAAAACAACGGCGTTTTTGCTGCGACGGATTTCGTCTGCGTGTCATTCTTTCGCTGGTCGGCTACACTCGACGTTATTAGATTATAGTATGGTGCCTGGAACGCGTCTCCGACTGGTGTGTTTACCGCGTCCGAAAAAGTGGTCCCTCAATTTCCGCCTGATGACGTCATAGAAGTGTCATGCTTTCGGCGGTCGCGACCCTGGTGGTGTCTCAGCAGCTGTGGTGGATATGGCAGACGCCTGTTCTGCTGCAGGTCGCATCTACTGTGACAGTCCACGGAAGCTACAGCAGCCGAAAGTTGGGACGCCTGGGACGCCGTGACGACAGCGACACTCGCGTTCGCTCGCGCTTTTCGCCAGCATTTCTACGGCCAACCGCCAGGATCGCGACAGTCAACAGCATGACACTCCGGCTTCTGTGACGTCATTTGTTGCCACTTGGGGACCACTTTTGATGTATGGGCAGCATAGGACAGTAAACACACCAGTCGGAGACGCGTTCCAAGCACCATAGTTATAGGGAACTGCTCATTGACGCTGCTTGCACGAGCAGTACTCCCCTCATTCACCACGACTCGCCTCCCGTTGTTCAAAGCGCCGGACGGTTGATAATTACAATGTCTTCTATGCAGTACGTATACTTCTCGAAGCACAGTCCGTCTAAATGGCGTTCCATCGTACTCTATGGAAAACACAGTTTTGAAACCGAAAACTAGATGGCGCTTCAAACGACGGGAGGCAGACTGAAGTGAGTAAGGGGGAGGAAGGACACCCTTCCACGGGAGTTTCACAGTTGAGGTAGTGTAGTAACGTTGGCAACACCTTCGGACGCTGCTCCCGACGCCATGCAATACGTGCGCCAAACGCGCCCCCGCCGCTCGGCACAGTCGTCTGCGTCGCCATGCACCCGCCGTTAACCATGGCAAGTTTTCGGCCCTATCTTTTTACAGAAAGGGAGCTATGCCTTGTAATTTTACAAGAAAAAAACGGACCTGTGCAATAGACCTTTGACGAAAAGTTTAGAATGCTTCGTGCACGCGTCGATTTTTACGGTCCATTTTAGATCGAGCCTAGTAAATTCAGACACCGTATATATCCTTATGTACCTTGCACCTTCCGTCGAGGAACCATCGCCAACGCCTGCTCGGAGATTGACGCATTCGTTTATTTCACACACACACACGAAGCACTCCTAACACGCGGTCACCCTGACTAACCCTGACCGGTCAGTCGCCATACAGAAGACGCGGTGTTCGTTTCAGACATGATGGCAGCGGCAACTGCGGCACGTCCCAGGCATGTTTGAAGCACATGTTGTGTTTGTAAATGCTCATGAACATGCCTGCAGGCTGTATGACTAACGTGACCACCATACAAGGAAGACTGTCTCTTGTATGTCGTCTTCGCGGTCATGTGACGCCCGTACGTCCCACGACACCGTGACGTAACGTGACATCCCAGCTTCACATGTCGCCGTGACGCCGTGTCACGAGACGTCACAATATCACGTGACACCGTGATCTTATAAGCCACCGTGACGTCACGCGATACCCTGATGACACTGTGACACAAGGACACGTGACACAGCGACATAAAGGTTCGAGTGGTGGTGCGACGAGCAACGGCTATCACTGTGAAAAGGGCGAGTATGGTAAGTTCTGACCGCGTCCGTAGTCGGGGTGAGTTTTTGCCCTTAGTCCAGATTTCACGACGGAGATGCCCGTTGGTGACTGTCTTCTTGAACCCTGTTGGTTTATTGGTACGTAAAGAGGGAATAGAACAGAGCTTCGGACGGTGCAGACCGTGACAACAGCCAGCGGCAGATTGTCATGCCTGGGGATGTTCCTTCGGTTGCCGCTTGTCGAGATTTCTCTCGTTGCATCTCCGCCTCTCTCTCAAGCAAAGCCCGCACCATAAGACGACGTTGCAGGCTGACAAAGTTCCTAGGAGCCAGAACAATCCGCGATAACTTCCCAATCCGTCCCTGAAGTGTCCTGAAGAAAGAAAGAAAATGCGGACGTCAGAATACAACATCGACAAAATACAAAACAGCACGCATAAGTGCACACGTTGTGTTTTGTGAAGTATATGCATAGCCATACCCGTTGCAGGTTAAGAAAGGCGGGTCAAGCCCCCCTCCACTCTTTCCTCTTTTGCAGAGCGGACGCTGGAGAAGAGGCGAGACCCTGCTCGCCTCTTGCTTCCTCTGGAGTATTAAATCTTGTGTTTGGGCGAGTTGGTTCATACTGATTTAAAAGGTTAAAAAGCGCAACAAAACAAGGACAATAAAGACACAAAGACGACCGGACGGGCGCTAACTCACAACTGATTTTATTAGAAAAAACACTGTCAAACACTGTTTGTGTCTTTATTGTCCTTGTTTCGTTGCGCTTTTTAACCTTTTAAATCCTCTGGAGCCTTCACTCTGCTGAAGTGGACAGAGCGGCGGAGCAACTTGTTCTAATTTTCTAAACCTGCAACAGGTGGCGCTTATGTCGGCCCGGCGCAAGCGCAAAATATTTACCGCGAATATGATTTTTGTGCAAGCGGAGCATACAAGGCAAACGTGGACTTGACTGTAAATTGATAATGCTACGTAACGATGTTAGTGAGCAATATACCCTTTTCAAAAGTCAGGGCTTCCTACACCGTGAGTCAGGGTCACATGGTATAGACATTAACACGGTCTTACACCGTTTTACTGAAAGAGGGCGGGATAGAAGTGGGAAAGGGCTGCCGCGCACTTTGCTCCTTGCTGGGTTGGGACAAACGGGAGAAAGACCCGGATGGTGGTCGTGAAACTGTATCTCATCGGAGCATTTTCTTTTTCGCACGTCAATGGAGGATGAAAATGGTATGCTTTCGCCCCAACCCAGCGCGACCGCGGAATCCGACGTAGTCCAGGAGGTGCTCCAATATTAAAAATAATGCTGTCCAAAAATATAAATAAATAAGATCCACGGTCGGATGTGCGTGGCGTTAGCAGCCACCAAAACTCCTTGAGTTCCGTCGATCACACGGGCAAAGTGCCGGTGGTATGGATAATCAGCGTTTAGCAACAAAATACAGTTTTTTTTTTGTTTTTTTTTTTATTTGGCACCGCGCAAAACGAACAAAATAGTGGTTTCTAATCTTGACACCACCACTTCTGACGACAAATCGTATTTCGGAGCCAACCTGCTTTACTGCCAAACGGGAGAATGTTGGTATCGCTCTAGCGTATATCCCATCTGCCCTTCCGCTGCGGAGATGACGTAACCGGGCCTCACAGCAGGCGTGACGTTTTCGTCTCGTGATGCGCGTTCTGCTGGGAAATTTGTCCGATTTCACCCTCGCGTGAATTTCATCAACACCTTTTAGATTAGAAAGCCTTAGTGCGGAATTTTCCAGCGTCACTAAAGAAGGCCACGTAAGGCACAGGTCGGACACAACTGCAACGACCGCGTTCAACCGGACCAGCCAGGTACGTAATTCAACTACTTCAACTCAAGTTACTGCACAGTTTAACTACTATTCTGATTAATCTGAGTAAATTTCGATTACATTTAAGTTGTTCATTATAGTCAGATGCAACCTGAGAACAATCTTTTAGCTCCACCCACAAGCGCATTGCGCCCATCTGAAGTGCCTCCGCCGTCGAGAAAGTAGTTCGCTAGCAACGTTGCTTTTTCTTCCTCCAGGAAACGTGTCTTAAACTACTACAATATTTATTTAATTCATTCAGGACATTTAAATAAGTTAGAATACGTTTTCGTCAACGAAATAGCTGTTTAGTAAAGAAAGAAAGTCATGTTCAATGTACCATCTTCCCAATTCAGTTTCTGTCCAAGATACTGTCTAACATACCGTCTTCCAGCGTAGCTTCTCACCTCTCAGCAGTGCTAAGCCTCGCGCCCGCTTCGAAATTTTCGTTGGCGATATCGTCGCTGGATTCTCACGTTGTCGCGCAAAAACTGCGGCAAACGCAGTTTTTGCTTTGTTTTGATTCATATTTTTTATCTCGTCGTCCTCAAACACGTAGACGCCAGTCACCGAGCTTGCCGTTTCGATCAGACCGCGGTGACACAGGCGCAGATGATAATGGCAGTTCGCATTGATCCGTGGGCTCCCCCCTACCCGCTTCTCATGGACGGGACCTGACGTCACCGCTATACTTCGTTTCACCTTCGGTCCGAGCGCGGCCGATGTTATGAGCTGAAGGGCCAATCAAAGAGCGCAAAAAGCGCAACGTCATGGCGTGTTTTTTGCGCTTGATAGGACTAGCCGGCGGAGGAGCACGCACAGAGAGACGGCGAATACCAGCTGGCCCTATCAACGGCAGAGAGCACGCCATGACGTTGTGCCTCTTTCGCTGTTTGATTGGCCCTTCAGCTCATAACATCGGCCGCGCTCGGACCGAAGCTGAAACGAAGTATAGCTCGAATGTAAGCCATCAGCCCAAGCGCTCCTCGGAATAAAACGTCTGCTCGCGAGAAGCTATTTATGCATGACTATACGTCACCTAACAATAAGGTTAAAAACAAAAGAACAAAATTTAAGGCGAGCAGGCGCAGAACCTCCAGACAAGAACTTTGACAGCATATTGATTATTCGAGCCAATAAAAGGTTTTCATTAAAACGCGAGCGAGAGAAGGGCCGTTTTTCTAAAATGACCGTCTATCAAAACCTTTGTACTTTCTTGCTACGATAAAAAAAAAAATATATAAAAATCATCGTCAAGAATAATTCGCTACTTTTTACTATAGCTAGTTCTTTACTCAATTACTTTCTAACTCAGTAAGTTCTACTCTACTCAAATTACTTTTGAGGCAGATACTCAGTAACTTACTCTTTTTAGTAACTTGCACATGTCTGGTTCCAGCCAAACGCCGGCACAGCAGTCGTGTCCAATTTCTGCCCTTCGTGCGCCTTTTCTAATAACGCATGAGAATTTAGCCACTAAAAGGCAGTCCAAACCAAACAGGAATGCGGCCGCCCGGACACTTTATTTTTGTTTTTCGAGTGGTGTCGCGTCATTCGTGACGTATTCTCTGTTCCGCAGGCCGTAATCAGAGCTGGAAAAATTTCAACATTTGGCGGTCCGCAATTACCGGGCGGGAGATGAAGGGCGTTCCTCGATTCTCGGGAACCTTACAAAAGGGACAAACCGAGGCTTTAAGTCACTTATTTTGCATTCTCCCCGCTGCAATCAGTGAAAAAAAAAAAAAAATCACCACATGAAGCGCTTTTCCATTGATTTTCATTGGCCGTTGTTTGTGACATTACATTAGATTGCGATTGGCCGCCTCGGGAACCGCCGTGACGTCACTTTATGGACCGCTTTGGTCGTCGCCGGTGAGCTGGCTGCTTCGTCCAAATGGATACTGGGAAAGTAAGCCATTGTCTCCCATGCCTGCTAGTCGGACACAAACAGATGCTAACGTACAGACAACCAGACCTCGCAATGTGATTGGCTGACCGGTCTTAGTTGCCATGGCCATCGCCATTTTGGTTCATTCAAATCTTCGAAGCTCCAGAAGGGTCGTCCTGAACCAGTCGCGCCAACATCGCTATGGAGCATCACGGTAAGGACAGCGTTCTTCGTCAAAATAAGCGTCTTTGAAACTGTGCATGCAATACATAACTACGCTTATCTCTACAGATCTCTTACAATAATATTCTTGCGTATTGAAAGACAGGAAAATTATTTTTTCCAATGCTGCCAAGTACCAACGCCACCTGTGGTGGCAGTACGAAGATGTCCGCTTGTTTCGCCAGTGTGTGGATAGCAAAATCTCGGTTTTTTAAAAAAAATGTCTTTATAAAGCAACCTAAAGCAAAGAGTTGAGGGAAAGATCCTCGCACCCCTTCCCACTTTAGCAGAACAAACGCTAGAGAGGAGGGAACCTCTTCTCCAGCGTTCGTTCGCTGGAGAAGAGGTTCTCTCTTCTCCAGCGAGGATCTTTTCCTCAACTCTTCCCCAGACGAACGCTGGAGAAGAGGTTCCCTCCTCTCAGCGTTTGTTCTGCTAAAGTGGAAAGGGGTGCGAGGATCTTTCCCTCAACTCTTAACCTGTCGCCGGTTATACCAGTGATTGGCGGATAAGATCTTCGCCTCGTGATGGACATTCCAATAGCATATTGCGAGATGGACATTACAATAGCAGTTAAAAATGATCCTATTAGTGTGTGATCGTGGACACAGCGCTGGCTGTAACACGCAACCTGTGACCGTTTCGAAATCTCTGAGAGCCGCGCATGCTCGCGGCGCTGGGCGTACACTGCGCATGCGCGATGCGGCACTCTCGCTCTTCCAGTTTGTGATCACATCCCCACTTGGTCGTCTGCTAGGCGCTAAGCAGACGACGCCACAGCTCATGCCGATGTTATAGTCAGTTGTATCCACGATAGTACCACGTCGAGACGTACCAATTATCGGAGGCCTGGCAAGCCCGGACAGGCCAGCCATGAGGGACGCCGCACCGAAGCAGACGCTGAAGTTGGCGGACTCAACCAGTTCCATGAAGAAAACATGTATCAGGATCTCGGTGGCTCCAGTGGACCAGCCTAGAATCACGGACATAAGGACCATGAGGGAATACGAGTAACAAAGGGGCAAAAGAAACAAGGCCATGGCCGAGAGGAGAAAGTGCAGCGTCATCATGGTGCTCCTTCTCAAGAAGCCCTTGTCTGTAACCCATCCGGATGCAAAACTCGACACCATCTCCGCTGTTGCAAAGATCGTGATCAAGAGAACAGCGTTCCATTTCAATATTTTCTGATCCATTGCGAAGTCCACGACGACGGTTATGTAGGTGGTAACGCTAAGAAAAATGTGTGAATATGAGAATGCAATGGCGTAGAACTTGGGGATGGCAAAGAACGACAATGATCCGAGTATATGGCTTTGAACACTTGACCCTGTTACTAGCTTCTGTGCTGTCCTCGAAACGTCGTACATATTTAGCGCATCCTGAACTTGTGGTTCCACTAGTTCTATATTTTGTGCATTGAGCTGATCAGTTCCGGGGTTGTCTGTCACTCTTGAAGACAAAAGAATATTTATGTCTTCATCTTCGGTGCTTAAATTATCTTCACTTGACGACCGCGCAGATTTTGGCAGGAGTCCGGCTGAGAGCTCTCCTGGAGCGCGGGAACCCTCATTCTCAAGGGTGGCTCCTTGTAATGCCTTGGCTCTAGGAGAATCAGTCCGTGCTTTCTCGTGAGAAGTAGGAACAGACACCACACGAGGATCTCGTTGTAGCAAGGCGGCGGCGGCAGCGTTGAGCATCAAAGCACCCCCCAACAACAGACCTCCTCTTAGGCCGTAACGGTCGAAGAAGAGCTGTGCAATCGGGGGGAAGGCGAGGCCTCCGATCGTGAATCCTGCGTTGCTAATGCCAGAAGCGACTGTCTTGTAGTTAGTGAAGTGTCGGTTGATGACCGTGGTAGTAAGCGTCGTGTACGCGGCGGTGATGCCTGCAGAAGAACAATAATTCACTACAATATACGGTCTGTTTGATTTTAGTTCGAACCGATCTTTTCAAGGGATGCCGAACCAAACTTAGCATTTCACAAAATGCATGGGCCGCAGAAGCGTTGAACGGGACGCTACGAACTCCAAAACATCATACATCCGATATCTCAAGCGGATGACCGTCTATTTGGAAAAGAAGGGCGGGAACAAGGCGAGAAATGTAACGTTTCGATTCTCCTGGAACGGTTGAGAATGAGGGGAAGCGGCCTGGCTTCTCTTTTCCTCGCTTCCGTTCACTTGCTCGAAGAGACGAAGCGAAAAGGAGAGGGAATGAGAATCGTGACGTAAGATGTCTCGTTGGCCTTGTTCAATCGTGCACTTTTTTTCTTTTTTTTTCTAAAAAAATATGGCCATTTTTAAGAGATATCGCTGCGTGAGTGATGCTTTGGGGTTTTACAGCGTCCCCCCTATCGCTCCAGCCTTGTTTTGTGAGCTCCGAATTTCGGTTGAACATCCCTTTAATTAGGGGGTGAGAGTTATCACGGGTGTTGTCTTTAGCCTACACTTGTCAGACCTGGCAAACACTATAGTCTGTTGCAGGTTAAGAAACCAGGACAAGGTCCTCCCGTAGAGCTTTTTTCTCTTTCCACTTTAGCGCCTGCTGAAGTGATAAAGTGGAAAGAGTAAAGAACACTGGAAAAGAGGCAAGAAGATCGCCTCCTTTCCAGCGTTCTCTTTGCTAAAGTGAAAGAGGAAAGGGCTCTACGGGAGGAGCTTGTGCTGGTTTCTTAACCTGCAACTGACTATAGAAAAGGGGATAGCAGTCACAAAAAATATTACTTATTAAAGCAAAAATTTGTTCATTAACTTTTTTAAATATTTGTCGTACGTCACAAATGATGAGTGCTCAAGAAGGGGGGAAGGGGTTTATCTCCCCTTTCCTCTAATAGACTGATCTCACCAGCAAGTTTTGCCACGCCACCGCTGCCGCGATGCATTGTGGGACCTTTAAGCCGGCAGCACACTGCTTATATGTCACACAAAAGACGGTCTGGCAGACACCAGACACCGCGATATCCGTGGTTCGGGTGCCGCGTGCCAAGTTTCTCCTTGAACTCGCTGCCATGCGGCACTCGAAGCGCGGATCCCATTCATTGTTGTAAAAATACTCGAGGCACGTGCCGCGCGCCACTTCTGGGAAATTCATGGCGTCCGAAATCTAGCCCAGTGCTGTGCTGTGCGGCCATGATCTTCCCAAGGGCTGCAGGTTGCACGTGTCTCGTGCATCGACGCACCTTGCGCAACTTTTGAAATATGAAGGGGCTTTAGGATCTTGTGGTGACTTGCGTTCGAATCTGTTTGCAGACTGTCTTTTGTATGACGCATAAGCAGTGTAACTCCGGCTTTATAGTCTGTGCAGCGGGGCTGGTGCAGTCGCGGGCCGAGATGCAGTGAAGATTTGGCTGACGGCCGTCCTCGCACGGACGGCGTTAGCAGTGTTGTTCTATCAAATTGCTTTTCTTTTGCTCCGCCGTTATGGTGGGATTCACGTGTTGCGCCCCTGGCTGCAGCAACAATAGCACCAGACACATACAAGGACGTCTGGTTTCATAGCTTTCCGAAGGACCGGCAGATGAGAGCTGGATGGATCGCCAAAGTTCGCCAAGAAGGCAGTAAGGGACGGTAATTCACTGGTTTTAGAAAGCTAGGTAATCAACATTGTGTGCGCGAAAGCAAACTTACGCGGATTCTGATTGCGCTGTTGTTGAAAATGGGAGAAAACTTACAGAACCCGCGGAGTGACCCCTGGGTCGGAGGTGCCGTAAGATCGTGCTTGCCTCCGATCGTGTTTTCGTCCCGATGCGGCGTCTCGTGTTCGGCGCTCATTCGTCAAACACACTACCTGTCTTTACCTTTTCTGCACCATTGTTTTTCCACGTATTCAGTTTTTCCAAGTTTGTGCCCACGACTGGTCACACAAAGCGAAATTATCAGTTTTTTTTTTACATATATCTTTAGCTCGCTCGCCAAATGCACGCGGGTAAGAGGCACCTCAAACGTCCTGCGGGATCGTACCATCAAATGTTTTCAAACCTGAGTCGAAGGTAGAAGCTACGAACAGACACATAGCATAAACTATCACCGGTGGGGCACATTTTCAATGTTTAATCGAATGCCCCGTTTACAAGCATACCCTAGAAATGTTTGCCAAAGTAGAAAGCCAAATTAGGAACAATGCTAAAACAAGCCGTGCAACCCGCGATGTACCACCAAGCAGGGACAACGTGATCTGAATATCCACAAAGGCAAATGTTGTTCAGAATGTTTGTCAGCAAACCATCCAAGTATTTACATTGCAAGAGCTTACACTATAAACGCTGGCCTCATCTTTAACAAACCATGCATCTGACGAGGCAGTCTAGCTACATCGACAAATGCCGGGCACAAAGTATTGCGCAACATTGATTGTTCCTTCCTGAGGCGTGTTTATGAACGAAACCACACCCAGGGTGGAGAATAAAAAAAAGTTGATTTAAATTATGATTTTAATCCCCTTGTTTTTGGTGTGTTGATTTGAATCAGGCCCGAATGACATCTTCTAAATATATATATATATATATATATTTTTTTTTTTTGCTGTTTGATAATTTTATAAGTTTATCATAGACATTAATAAAAAAGTAAGAGTTAGAGTTCTGACATGATTAGAAGTCAGATGTCGGGGGCACTAAAAATCTAGTTTCATACCCATTAAACGGTGGAAACAACTATACCAGGCCCATGTAAGCGCAATTAGTTCTCAGTGACAAGGTCTGGGAGTACACGTTTTGTCTCTGTAAGCAATAAAGGTGCTGAATTGAAGCCGTAATAAACTATATGCACAGCTCCGTAGATATACAATGTTACAACTTTAGTCAACCCTTCTATTGCTTACGTAAATGCAAAATGGTATCGAAGATGCTCTTTTCGATAAGAAATGATTGGGCCTCAATTAGCCAATGACTGAGTATTGTGCCGTTTTTAGATGCCTAAAACTGGAATTTCAAGCTCCCGAACGTCCAGCCTATTGAGCAAGGCGCAATCTTTCCCTGTAAGAAAAACAAATATAAGGGTCGCGCTCTCTCTTTTTCGGTTCGTTGGGGTGTACCACGGGGTTCGATTGGAAGCCAAGGAAAACGCCAAAGAAACGAACAAAACGAGGAGCGAAAACAAGACTATGTGTGCATACACACGCACTCGCACGCGCACGCAGACGCGCACGCACACGTGCGGAAGCACCCACGCGCGGACACGGACAAACACACACACGCACACGCACGCACACACCGCTGTACCGTGATAAATACGTGGCTTGCACAGGACGTCATTTCCGTTGCCCTCCAAAGAAGAGGGAAAGAAGGAGCACCCCTCTTATCAGGATCCTCCGCTGTGCCTCCCGGATTTGCACAGGCGTCGCCATTCTCCTCCCAGAAGATTATAGAAGATTAACCTGTCACTCAAAATTCTTACAAAAGCAGCTTCCCTCTCCTCCTTTTACTTGGTGTTCAAATATGTGCGATGTGACCTCAGTGCAAGGAGCCTATAGAGCGGTAAGCAAAAAGAAAAAGGAATTGTTGACGGCTAACCCGTAAACTAAGCCCAAGTTCAACGATCCCCATTTTTTTGTTCCTTCGCACTTTCGAAATAAAGACGCCCCCCCCCCCCCCCCCCCCAATCCCCCCTCCCCACCGAATCCCCCTCCTCTTCCTCCTTCTTTGCTCGAAACTGACGGGAAGCAGCTCGGAGTGAGGTCTTGGTCAAACATGAAAAGGCCCCTTCCCCCTTCTTTTTTTAAATGTTTTGACGCCACTGACCGATAAGAGTAGGCTGTTTCGATTAACTTGCACCTGTTGCACCGAAGCAAAAAGGTGTATAGGCAAGTGTGCGTCCGTTATGTGTATTGAGGTACGACCGGTACTACACCGACCGCCCTACACTTTTCTGCGCCGGTACAGGAAAATCGAACATGCCCCTAGTACTTGCGTACCTTGTAATATTCCGTAGAAGGCGATAAGATAGGGTATGCCATTGGCGAAGTAGCAGAGCGAAACGCTCATGGCGCTGACCACAGATCCCGCCAGGGTCAGCTTCCAGACGCTGATGTATCTTGCGAGGACTCCCGCTGCAAGCGCTGCATTTCGGGGACGAAAGAAGGTTTACTCGCATGTGCAGAATACTCATCACGCATACATGGGAGCATGGTTCCGCACGTATGCCGGACTATATTTGTTCCAACGAAACATCGCGGAGTTTCATTGGCTGCGGTGTTGTCTAGATGTACCTTCCATTCTATAAACAAAACATTAAAAAAAAATATCGGGTAGGCTGTGTACACGGCACCTCCGGAAGTGGTATACGTGTGACAACGTCCAAGTGCCTCCAGTGAAATGAAACGCGTGCATCGAAAGTAACAAATCTCTTTCGATGTAACGGAAGTAATGGCATGAAACTCAAGTATGAAAGGGAACGCATTTCTTGGTTACTCGCAGATGACCACCCAAATTGCTTGGTACAGAAAGATTATGCTGGTGCGCCCTCTCACTCGACCCGTTTGCTTAAAGTAAATGCAGCCTTTCAGTTTAGGAAGTTAAAATCTGCGGGGTACCCTAACATGCTACTATCAAGTGTTTGCGAAAGCATATTACAGAAACTTAAAGGATCCCAGAATAAAAAAAAAAAAAAAAAAGTTCTATAGAACAGATCATCAAAAAAAAAAAAAAAAAGAGTGCAAGTTGTGAATTATGTTCGCAAGGTATCGCACAATTTAAAAAGAACTGTTAGATATGGCATTAATCTACATTTCTCGGTTCTTTGCAAGTTTCAAGATATATCCCATACTTACTGGTCATTAAAGTGCCCAGTGCGCAAAAAAAAAACATGCCGTCATGTACACCAAGTGCACGAGTGGGATTGTTTAGGATATATTCACTTTAGCTGTGGCCCCATTTACATTGGACAAACGGGTCGCTGTTTCAATGAGAGAGCGCGTCAGCATGATCTTTCGGTACTAAGCAATTTGGATGGTCATCTTGCTGAGCACGTTAAACAATGTGGGTGTAAACCGCTTTTGAAATGGACCAAGTTCCTGAAGAGAGCCAAGGAGAAGACAGAGAGGGAAATTATAAAAGCGTTTTTTTTTTTATAGTAAAAAAAGGCGGGAGACAAGTGCGTCAGCATGCCGTCGGTGTCTCTTATTGGCAAAAAAAAATATGGTTTCTTGGTGGTTTTATCTGAAGATAGGTGCGTGGTAGACGTACAATCTTAATGTACGCTTTGTTTTTTATGTCCGCAGGCTATAGTATATATCGCTTGGTGAATGATGCAATAAACTTAGTTGGAAGTCAGCGCTAGTCCTGTCGTGCGTGCCTCTTTTCGTCCCCGTCAAGTTTGCGCCATTTTAATCTTGTCTATTATGAACCAACTAGCCCAATCAAAACTCGTGTTACAAGTTGTTCTATCCGAAGGCATACCCTCCAAAAGCAGAGAGCCATGGCGTATGCATGGTTAGCGCACGCTACAATTGTTTGATTTATTTGATAAATTGAGTGGGTTCGCATCACGTGATGGTCTGGTTTACTCAGCCCCGTTTTCTTACGTTACATTACGTTAGGAAAGCTTACGTCTGGTAAGCCACAATTCACCAGGACATCTGTGCTTCGTATTAAGCGTGCCTACCAGTTCAAGGAGATAGCCTGGCACGCGACATTTGAGACCCGAACGTTTCGGCGATTTGATGCGGTTCACACACTTGCGTCGAGTCCGACTGTGTACAACTGCAACGGCTTGCGACGTACAGCTGCGCCGGCTCCAACAAAGCCTGTTTTTACCACGTTCTGTTGGAGCCGACGCGGCTGTTGCTATAGCAACTCTTACGTTGCAAATCGTTGCAGTTATACTCGGTCGGACTCGGTGCAAGTGTATCAATCGCCCTTTATACATACTTTAAGAGAACCTAAGAAAACGGTGGTGTGCGAAACATCTTTTAGTTGGCTTCTTAGGCCATAACGGTATCCAAATCTTGTGGTGCACTGACAGCGACAATATTTATTTACGCTCTAGAATGTACGTATGGAAAAATAAAATAAATAAGTCTGCAGTGACTATATTGGCCAATTTGGAGCGCGCGTTTCTCGATGTTTAGTAAAGGTACTGGCAAGTCATTTTAAAAGAGCCTTCTCGTTTCTTATTTTCTTTTGTAACACAACGGGATCGCCGAGAGATAAGAAGGCGCCTATAGAACAACCGCCTCCTTACTATGCGATCTTTTTCTTCGGGGGCCGAGTTGCTCACGCGTCTTCATTTTCTTCATATTTCCGGTCAAGACCTTGGGTGTACATTAGTGGGGCGTTTTATATAGTATCAAGGTGACATTTAGGAAACAGTTTAGCCAAAGTCTGAAGGATCGTTGAAAATGTAATTAAGTTATCCTTTTTTTAAAATAATTACTTGAACAGAATCTCGTTGCAAACTGAAGCGGCACTGAGGACAAGGGGAAGTCGGTGATCTTTCTGTTGCGAAAAATCCGAGATTTGCTTCTGAATTCCTTTCTTTGCCACAACGTCCAAGTCCCGAGCAGCGAGTTTCGCTCTCAGTTATAAAGCACGTGTTCGCACCTCTCCCTTTATAGAAAGATATCTTGTCCGTTAGGTGTCATTTCGTCATAAAGCACCAGGATTGTGGTGCTACCTACTGACTGCACTTCGGCTTTAGTCCACAAATATTGAATGCACTTTGTACGTATTCTGTACGTGTCGCCGCGTATAATGAACTAATCTAAACTGAATTCTGTACGTGGTTCTGTACTAATATGAAATATGTTCGGGACTAAAGGTGCGTGTGGGTGCGTACGAACTAAATTTACACCTCTGATCCCTGCGTGCACACGTGTTTTATTTCTATGATAACGAGTTCTATGTGGTACGCCGAGGTACGTTTTTATTGTGTGTGTGTGCGTGTATTTTATATATAACGTGAACTAACGGTTGTACATACTTTTAGTATACTTAGACTAAACGTGCTACAATATACCTTTAGTACGTGATGTATAGAACACAAAAAAAAAACGAGGTAAGACAAGAGCGGAGGGGGTGTGGGTGTGGATTGTACAGGAGAAAAATGAGGACTGGCGAGGTTTCAGTGAGTGGAACCCCGGTGAAATATAAAAAAAAGCTAAGGTCTCCTTGTCACGCAGTGCTTGATGTGCACGACGTAGTATATACGTCGGGTTTGAAGCATATTTATGTAGTTCCGTGATATGGACGATGTCTCGTCGCTTGAAAGGTTACAGGACGGTGTCTAATTCGCCGGCGCATACGCAGGTTGTCTACCCGCCACCCCCGCCACCCCCACCAGCTCCATTGTTACCGTTTAAACAGCGCTCGTCCGTCTCGTCGGGTGGAACTCTGGCAGAAAATCAGCAGGCCGCCACGGCCCACACCACCATTAACTTCTACGGGTCGTCGGCCCCCTCTGGCTACGGCCTGATGCCTCAGGCACAGCCCATGTTCGCCATGCCCAGTTCTCCCGTGTACGCCATGCCAACCAGCGCGGCTATTGCACAGGCCCCTGCGTACCAGTATGCCATGCCGACCAGTGCTGCCCTTGCGCAGGCTCCGGCGTACCAGTACGCCTACCAGACGACGGCACCCGTGACCCAGGGGACCACGTCGGTACGCCGCGTCACGTCGCTGTCGCAGCTGTACAGCAGCACCGTCGCCACCGCTCCAGCCTACCCGCAGTACCAGTACGCGTACCCCACGGCAGCGCCGGTGTCCCAAAGGACGGTGTCCTTCCGTCGCGTCGGTTCCACGTCGCAGCCGTGTCAAGTGAACACTCAAATTCCAGCCACGACGACTGTCCAGTATGCTGAGTACCCCACAGTAACGCAGACGCCCCAGGGGGCTACGACGTCAGTGACTCGCGTCGTGTCCGCGTCGCAGATGTGAGGAGGAGGAGCGCAGGTGCCGACGGCCTCAGCTATATACCAATACGTCTATCCGACGGTGTATGAAGTGCCCCAAGGGAGGGCGTCGGTAACCCGCGCAACGACACAGGTGGACACATCCGCGATAATCCTTATCTGACTGTGCGTGATTCCGGGCACGTCGTCACCACTGAATCATCAATGTGCCATGTAGCGTCAGTGGTGTGCCGTCAATCCACTGTCGAACTGAACACACACACAAAAAAAAAAGTGGTTGTTTCATTTGTTTTGTGCATCTTTAAAGACAAGCGGGGCGAATGTGTTTGTATGTTTGTTTGCTTATTTGTCTGTTTGTTCTATACTTGGAATTTTGTTCGAATATCTTAGAGCGAGGGGAACAATCGATAAACTTTGCGCGGCGGAACGTTCGCTTTGCGCATTGACACCGCTGTGAAGACGTGCTATATTCGATCTACCTGCACGACCTGCGCCTGCTGCACTCGGCGCAGAACGCCGTATTTGATTTACGAGTGCAGCCTATCTGAAAAAAAAAAAAAAAAAAAAAAAAAACCGGGAGTACATTGCTTTTTACTTTTCTGCATCGGTGCAGGCTGGTGCTGGTTAATCGAATGATCCCACTGTCTGTCGTGCACGTATTGGCGACGTGCGCGACCGAAAGCGTCGCTGTGGTCGGCCTTGCACGATTGGCCCAAAAGCTGACTATGACGTCGGAAAGGGTATACCATCGACGGAAATAAGAGGAATGAAAGAACTTTAATTGCGACGGTGTTGGCAGTGTTGCTTTGAGAGTGCAATGATTTCAGGCTTCCACCATGCTATTTACAAACACCATCGAACTTGTTGTTCGCAAGGTAATGACGTCACAAGGGGGAACCGTAGGAGGGCGCCACCAAAACATCTCGCCGCTAATACGCTGCATCCCGGTCCACGGTGGCAGAAGAGAGGTTACTGAACGGCATTGCCTCGCCACGGAGCAAGTGTTGCGAAGGTTCGCTCGCATTTCTGACAAGCGCCGCGAGATGGCGCAGCATGTAAGGGGCTGTCCAGAGGACGAAGGTGAGGCTTGAACACACTGGGGTGGAATGCAAGACGGCGGGAAAAAAAGACCGAGACATCGCGACCTTCTGCGATTAGTCGATTCCATGCCGCTGACCAATCGCAGCAGGCGGCTGTCGTGTACTGGTCTG